GATGTCAGACTCGGATGTCAGACTAGGAATTTCAAACTTGGTTAACCCAATGGGTACATTTCCCTCGTAAGGGAGCTGATTAGAAAAGGCGCGAAGTAGCCTGAGAACCACAACAGCACAATTCATAAACACAAGTTGAGTTCACACGGGAAATCTAATTAAGCCAGGCTACAAGACATAACACCCCATCATCCACCTGCAGGAGAAACTTGGCAGTTACAGAAGCATACCAGAAGGGAATAACAAAGGGAGAGAAGGGAGGAAGGGCAGGACGAGGGACGGGACGTGTCCCAGAGGAATGGCAGCTCGCTGACAAGTAGCCAATGTCAGGGGAGACAGTTACATTTGCTAACTAGTCCACGTTTGAGAAACTGTATCTATGTGTGTAACTGATCCTAAGTCATTTATTTGTAAAAGTGTTTTGTTGAAATAAATGGGGACTGTGTTTAAGTAAACTTCCTCAGGACTAGGAGTAGCCAATGTCAGGGGAGACAGTTACATTTGCTAACTAGTCCACGTTTGAGAAACTGTATCTATGTGTGTAACTGATCCTAAGTCATTTATTTGTAAAAGTGTTTTGTTGAAATAAATGGGGACTGTGTTTAAGTAAACTTCCTCAGGACAAGGATGTAAGGTAGGAGTAAGCTTCTTGGAAAAGTGCCATTACTGGTGTAAAACCAATCTAGGAATAAAGAGCAAACATTTGAGTGGTTGTGTATATAATGGTGGTTAACTAGAAGTTAGAAAACAGTAGGTTGCAGGCAAGAAACATCTTCAAAGATGACACTCTGGATTGTTTTCCAGTTTTATAGGTTTTCTGAATCATCCCCCAACAGTAGCTGGCTGTCTCACCTCCCAGAGGTCACATGCTTGACTAATTAGTTTTTAACTTCAGGCGCCATATCTTGCCTGTGACCCGAATCTTTTTTGGCTTGATGGAATTCTCAACCTTGATTTTTGGGCTTTCTAGAAAAAATAAACTTCATTTTAAAGTTAATAGACATCTGAGGTAGAAAACTTCCCAGTGCTTTATTTTTCTGTGGAAATGTCCATTTCTAAATATTCCTGGATTCATAACTTAATAACAGTGAAGGATGGCATTACGTATGCAATATTAGGAAAGCATGTCAGTTTCAAAATTGCGGTTAATGTGTTTTGGGTGATCATGCATAGGAATTGTAAGAGTACATATAGGTATGTTTTGTTTTATAAATGGGGAAGAAGTAAACCCCCAAATACATACAATAATTCAGATAAAACCTAAAGTTATACATTTATCTGGTTCTTCCCATAAAATCAAAATAAAAACTAGAATTCCTGTTTATAGGTGTCCTTTCACTTGGTGGAAGGGGCGCTGTAATCACCAGTCTGATAGGGAATTAATAAGTAATGCAAAAGATGCTACTGAGAATGACAGTGAAACTGGAGTGCCCCAGTGACCTCTGTGGAAGGCAGTTAAATATGTTCTGTGGAAATATATGAATGAGCAGCCACATCCCTGGCATGTTATGCACAGTCCTCTGGATGTACTAAAATTAGTGTGTCCACAGTTTTCAGTGTCTTTCGGACTTTTCTTAAACAGTGTAAAGGAAGTACATTTTGTATTGTCTTTTAAATTTTTATTAAATTTTATTCTCATAACAATTGCACATAAAGCTTTGAATTTGAATGTAACGTTCAAACTGCACAGTTTTTTTCAGTTCAAGTATTTGTTGCTATTGGGACATAAAATATTGTGGGGTACTTAAATTTTGTTTACTACATATAAGTAAAGCTAAATAAGATCATACTGTATTTAGGGCATCTAGAAAATTCTCTGATTCAAATCTTTCTGGAAAGATTACATCTCTGTAAATTAGTAACAAGTTATTTATTATTACTACTTACTGTATTTATAGTCCACCTTTCTCACTGAGATGCAGAGTGGATTACACAGTGTAAGTCAATAGTCCATACAGAGACAACTAATGGGTGCAGTGTTGGTCGTTCCAATTAATATGAGAAGACATCTAATGAGCATGTCATAGAACTGGATTACTGAAATCTGAATGAGCATAGCATCTTTGGCCTGATAAGAAGTCTGGATATAATAAAAAATGGTATAACATCAGTAGAAAGCAATGAAGAGACAACAAGATAATATGTGTAGCAGACTGAATAATTTGTCTTGTGCACAGTGGTATAATCCACAGACCCTTCCCCTTATAAAGCACCTTCCTGAGCTATTATGTTATAGTATAGCTCTATTACCTTTATAGAAAAGTTCTCCTGGACAAGTCTGTCTTACATGAATTGCATAATGACAGGAGTATGGGAGCCGTCCTGACCATCTCAGACAGACTGTTCCATGCAGTGGGGGTCTTAACAAAGAAAACATGTGGACAGGCAGTTGTTGATCTTGCCTGTTGCAGGACAGCACTGCATAATGCCTTGAACAGATGAGCGGAGCTCTTGTGGTGAAGCATAGGAGGAGAAGTGATCCTGCAGATGTGAGGGTCCAAGGCCATGCAGAAATTTGAATGTGATAGCTCCTTGAATTGAATAATGTATATCTGGCAATTGTATGCTGGCTTTGAGTATATATACCTTGTATGCCCCATATAGATTAATTTAGGAAGATGATTACTTATACAAAGGTATAGAGTCAAAAACAAATCAGGACAAATGTGTTCTTCTAAGGATGATCTCATGCAGCTACCATGACCTCTGTGACTATTGTCTGTTGCCTTGTAGTTATAGAAGGAGCAAGGTGCAAGACAGCCCTTTCCCAGAAAAATTCATTAGGTGTGGGAGAGAAAAGTAGCCTGCCAGAGGCTGAAAGTTGGTAGGAGCTTGCATTCTCTTTGTCCATGCACAATCAGACTCTCCATTTGTCTTCTGTAAAATGTTCTGTCTATTTTGACAGTATTTCTCATAAATGCTCTTGGATTCTCTCCCTCCCCATTAAATTAAACCTGAACTCTGCATATAAATCAAGTAAAGTTAAAAGCCATACCATTAATGAGAATGTATGTTTTTAGTTCACTGAGAAGCAGTAACCCCAGATTAATTTGGAGCACATGTGAGCTTCTTCAAGATGTTATCATGCAAGACTTCCCTGCAGAGATCTTCCTTCAACGACCAAAGATTGTTCAGGTTAGAATTGCTTCAACTAAAATATTTCCCTCTATTAGAAATTTAGATGGATTTCATGAAGAGGTTTTTGATTTTGTAAAATTTATTCTATGGAAACATTTTTTCTCTACTTAATATGATTTGAAAAAAATATTAATGAAACAAAAATCTTAGGATAACTCTACAACTCACCTGAAAGTAATCATTTTGGTTAACTAAGTGGATATAACGCATTTCAATGTATTTGCTCGTTTTAAAAGTTTGTCTCCTATATTTTGCTAGTTGCAGTTTTATCCTACTGTTTTTCTAAGCAGTTGCATGCCTTGAAGTGACCTTTACGAGGGATATGAACCCATATCTCCCATCCTAATCAGATACATTAATTATTTTATGACATGGGCTTTTTCTGGTGTTTGTTAAGGTATCTGATGAAGTATAATGTTCTATAGTTTTCATGGCGAAAAGAAGATTGTTTAGGAATGCTGTGCAATTACAGGGGCATAACCACACACCGCATGGCAAAACTAGCAGGGGATCTGGTATAGTATTGACTTTCTGGTTTTCTGTCATGTACTTGGTTGTTGTCAGAGTAGTTAATAAAGTCATGACTTGGAAGACAAATCAGAGTTGTGAGAGGTATGTTTGTGCATATATGGTATGGCAACATATAGTTGCTGCGTGTCAGTCCAGCTTCTTTCTGGGAAGTCATTACCTTGGAAGAACAGCAGAGAAAACTGGATGACTGGATTAATTTGTAACTTTGTTAGGTTTATGCTGTGCAAGCTGCTTTGGGAGCAAATTGCTACAAGATGGAGTATAACTGTTCAAACAAACATGCATGGCAGTAATTCACTAGCATACCTCTAATTTAATATATCCTCATACATAATTATATCAAGGAAGTACAAATGCATTTTGGCTATTTATCATAATTAGGCATTTTTATTTCCTTCAGAATCTTTTCTCTTTGCTAATGCTGCCTTTTGGAAGAGATGGACAGTACCGTTTGGCTTTACAGGCAGTCTCATGTCTGCAGCAGTTGTGTGTCTTCTTAAGGAATAGACTGAACTTCCATAGAGATCCAAGTTTTGTCTCAAGTGAAACCGGTTTGTATAAAAGTTAAATCAAGATAAACTGACCCTTAGTAATCAACTAATTGTTTTTCCTTAATGAAGGAGCAGGTGTGGGCTGAAGACAAAGTCCCATTGGGAGACCCAAGAGCACCTTTAAGCTGAGTTACATCTTCATGGGACCCTAATTTGGATAGGGGCTGCATGGAGATGGGAGTGGGAGATTAACCATTTCACTCCCATTGAGCTTTGCAAAATGGAACCCAATTTTTTTTTTAAAGACCTCATCTCTTCTTCCTTTGTACAGCACTGGGGGCCTGATTTCCTTCAGTCAAACCATGTGGGGATGGCAGTTTGACATTCATCAGTCTAGCCCATGTGACCTTTCCCATGTGGAGGGAATGTAAAGGGAGAAACTGTTAAGTGCTCAAGATTTAGCCTCTGCATGCCTTCTCCTCTACTTCTGTGATAGTACAATGTCAGGGTACAATAATGAGATTTTAATTCAAGTCAAATGATGGCGTTGGCTAGTCTGCTTTACATCAAGAGTTCAAGGTAGTCGAAGGTGAATGCATACAATATAACATCCCAAGGGCCATAAGAGAAGGCCTGTCCATCTAGTGCTGGTATGCACTAGCTGTAACAGTCAACTATATTGGGGGGGGGGCAATGGTAACCAGTCCTGTTCTTGTCTTGTTACTATGCTGTTGTATCGTGAATGCTATTTACAGCATGATTTTTAGATTCAGCCACACTTTCTAGCATTAACACTCTAGAAGAAACAGTTTGGAAAGCTCTATGAAATCAAATATTGCCCAAATTGCACTGTAAAACTCATTAAAGCTTATCATTTTGTTAACACCCAGTTTCCTTTGTTTTCAAATTTTAAAAGTGAGAAGAAAGCTAGCAAGCTAAGAAGTGAGGTTAAATTTATAGTAGTAGGAGAGCTGAGCCTTTGTGCTAATACATGTTTTTATTCTGTGCTGCCAAACAAATGGTAAGACTTTTTAAAAATTATATTTTATTATTTTCCACATAACATGTTTACAACAAAAATATGATAGAATTTCGGAATGGTATACAAACTGTTCCTTCCCATTATACTCTATGGCACTGCCAGTGTCTACATAATATAAATAAAATTGTTTTCTTATTCACTGCCAGTGATTGCTTGTTAAACAATTACTATAGTCTCCTTGAACTCCTAGACAAGTAATACAAAATTTAATAAACAGATAACTAATCATTATTATTTTATTTTGGTTAGGCGTCTACCATGAATCTCAAGCTGTTTCTCATAATGTTCTATTTCCTAAATTTTATCATCTTTAATTACTATAATTTAAAACAATATCTATTTCTTCATAGTTAAGTTCTTGGAGGTTGTCACCTCACTTTGGGGCTTTGGAAAGCTCCGAAGGGGGTCTTTCCCTGAGATCCCACCCTGTGGGAGGTAGTGGGGGAGTTCCTCCTGAATGCCTTGCCCGCCCTGCTCCAATCATATAAATTTTAATCTTACTCTTCTCTCTCTGAGGGCTCTAAAATATTAATTTCCTATTTCTTTATAGTCATCAGAAGGTCTTGAGAGTTCTTGTATAGTTCTTTTGGGCACATCTGTACTGAGTTTTATTAAATAGCTTCTTTTTGTAAAGCTCTTAGCATATCTTCCCCAGATTTAACATCATGAGCAGTGAAGACTTTGCCTTGACGAGTTACTGAAATATGCCCTAACACGGGAGCCAGCAATAGCGAATATCTCTTTCTACTAAATGTTGTGCAATTTGTTTCAGGTTCCGCCGAGCTGTAAGAATCTCGTATGGTAAATCTTGATATACTTGAACTCGAGGGTCTTCCAGTTGAAGCCCATTACTCTTCCTGGCAGCTTTTAGCACGATTTTCTTTGCTTTGATGTCATTTAGTTCAGCCACTATATCAGGGATCAAAGCAGGGGAGCCAGATTGTGGTGGATTCAAATGGTATGCTTGGCTAATCAGTGGAGCCGGAAGTTGCAGCAGAGTTTGGAGTCATTCATTTAAAGAGCCCATGAGGTCTTTGTCCATTGCAAAGTTTGGGGAAATTCCCCTAAGTTTGATTTTCCTTTCATGGGCTTTAATATCTAGGAGTATAATTTTACTTTTACTCCATGATTCAAAAGTCTTTAGTTCTTCTATTGCTTTCACATTCTTGGCTCCCTCAGTCAGTGCCTTGTCTGTTTTCT